GGTTCAAGTAGGTCTCGACTATCTGGAGGTGAATTTTCCATAACAGAGTCAAATTAGAAATAAATAATAAAAGCATGTAGATGCATTCATGTTCTAAATAAAACAAAACATACAGTTTTATAATTAATAAACAAATGAACATATCAATTACAAGAATTCCAATAAAATTGTGTTATGATGACAATGTGATAAATGGGGTATTCATGTGATAAATGTGATCTGTGTAAATTATAATAACATACGACAGTGTTAATATCTTCAATAAACTTCAATAATGAAATGTGTAATGGTATTAAGTGCTTTTTTCATATCCAGAAATGCTATCACACACAATTGAATAGCTTTTCCCACCACCAAATCACCTCTGGGTATGAAGTGCTTATATGACAGTGTTAAAATGATACACAAGATGATGATAATTTGCTTGTAATTTGCTAGTATGATAGCATGCTAGTTATAATACCAATGTGTTATATGTGATGATATCATAAATGAGACATCACGTGATAACATTTTAAATGTAATACCAGTGATAACGTTAAACTCATACGTGAGATAATGGTAATGCAATATCTGTGACTTTGTTAGTGTGATATATGTGCTGGTAATCTGATAGATATGTTCATAATAATGTGGTTGTTTGGTGGTGACATGTCATGGTGATCATGTGTTGCAACAGTGATATTTATCCTAAGTACTCAGGTCAGAAGATGCATATTGTAAATAATTCTAAAACTCAGACAGGACAGTACCAGGTGGAAGTCTTTCCTTTTCTCTTTCACTCTAAGACTTAAGCCATCTGTTATAAGTCGCTCTGCTGTTGCGGTTTGTTATTCCTGTATAACACACCTACCCAAGAGCCATTTCTGTTGCTTTCCAGTAAACAGAATTTTTAATAATAGGTGCAGATTTTACTGTCACATGTGCACTCTTTAAGTCTCTGAAATAAAAAAAATCAAGTATGAGAGAAAGTAATATGGGAACCAAATGGTTTTTAAAAGTTTTGAACTGACAATATAACAAGAATCTTACATTCTTGTGAAGAATTATTCAAAATGTTTCCTTTCAACTTGGGCTCCAATAGTTAACAATACAGTGAGCAGATCTCTGGAGAACAACATTTCAATCTAGTTTTCCTTTTCATTACAATTGCCATCGATTTTAAAAATGAAGTTGGTGTCAGATAGAAATTCAGTTGGCAGAGACGATTGTAGGTTAGAAGTAATGATAATTTATAAATGCATTCCCGGTGACTGTCTTTGGAGTTTGCACACACTCCCTATGTCTATGTGGGTTCCCTCCAGGTGCTCCAGTTTCCTCCCACAGTTGAAAGATGTACAGCTGAGGTAGATTAGCTATGCTAAATTGCTCTGTAGTGTCCAGGGATGTGCAGGCTATGTGGATTAGCCATAGGAAATGCAGGGTTAACAGGGATAGGGTAGCGGGGTCGGCCTGAGTGGAATGCTCTTCAGAAGGGCGGTGTGGACTCGATGGGCTGAATGGCCTGCTTTCACACTGTCAGGATTCTACGAAAAATAACCTAATTGTTATCTTAATATCAATTCCTTCCCCTGATACTAATTGTTCCTCTACACAAAAATTCAAGAATATCACTGATTTCAATGTAGTCTTTTCTATCAATATTCCTACTTTTAAGGATCTAGAAGGGAGATTTTCTGCTGGGCACCAACTGGGAGTGACACTGATCATATTGACTCAGCACAATGTGACAGTCCAAAATGGTTTGAGGTCTGGGACACCATAACATTTGCCCATCAAGCTATGGACTTTCTGGGGGCATCTCAATGCAGCCATTATCAGCAGCAGCCAAGGGCTTTTGGTGGATGGAATAGAAGAAGGTTCCAGACTGTTAATGAAGTTATGTTCTTTTAAAAAGCCTCCATTAAACATCTCAGTGTTGGGAGCAAATGGTATTGGCATGCACCATGCATGCATTGATGTTTCATGCACATAAATTGTAAGCATATGATCTTGAATTGTATATTTAAACAGACTCCCATCTTATGTTTTTGGGCAGGTGTGCTGGCAAATCAGTCAAAGTCCTGGCTGAAAATTGGCTCAGGTGGGCAAATGGGTATAAAAGGTCCGTACCAGATTTTACCCATTTTTCAATGAGAAGCTTGCATTGGTAAATCTCATTGTTTTCATGTATCTATACTCATGGGTGTTGATCTATACTGGCACTAACTCACAGATTTTAAATTTTTATTCTTGTTTTCAAATCATTCAAAAGCCTCATCCCTCTCTAGCTCTGTAACCTCCTGCAGTGTGACAAGCCATAATGACAGAATAGAATAGAAATTCATTGTCACGTGTACTTTTACATGAAAAATACAATGAAACATTTTATAATTCACCCCACTGCGGTACCTACATCAATGACAGAAGACATACATAATAACAACAAAAAGTAAAATTAAGACAAAGTTCATCACAGTTCAGTTAATGGCTTCTGGGCTCGGGGAAAGTTGATTAAGGAATGATGGAACGCCTTGAAGGTGCACTGAGATAAGACTGCAATTCCAGGACAAGAATGTCACGCTGGGCTGCTGGAACACTTGGCCAGAAGGGTCTGCTGAAGAAGACCGCCATGCGAGGCCGAGACTGGCCCTCCCAGACAGAACTGCCTACCGGGTCACTGGAACACCTGGAAGCCGAAGACAAAGAAGATCTCCACACGATGTAGAGACCTTCAGACCAGGACAAGACCGCCATGCCAGGGGGCAAGACCGTCACACTTGGAGACCGCTACACTGTGCTGAGACTGCCACCTCTCCTCCTCAGGTGCCCGGGCCCAGCCAGGGAGCCAGAGCTTTGGCCTAGCCTGTGAGTCCAGGCCGGAGGAGCCAGCCTAGGACCTGCTCCTCACTCGCCAGGAAAACCCAAGCTGGGGTACAGCCACATTCTGCTTGTCCTGGTGTTGCCGCCACAGGAGGCCCCTCCCTCACCAGTCACTCTCCAGACCCAAAAGAGGAGAAAATGAAGAAGAAAGAAAAGGGAAAAGGAAAAGGAGAAAAAAAAAGAAAAGAAGATAAAAGGAAGGCAAAAAAGAGAAAGAAAGCTGACAGGAGTGGACACGCTCCAGGCTTAGCTCACCTACTCCGCCACCATCTACACCAATGATCTCTGCACTCCTCTAATTCTGATACCTTGTGCAGTTGATTCTCATCACACCAACAGAGGCCAATGTCTAGTTGCCTAGGTCCTGATCTCAGGAATTTCTTCCCTAAACCTCTTCACTTCTCTCTATTATTGAAATTCTTTTCAGATTAACCTTAAAACTTACCTCTTTAGCCATTTGTTTAGTGAACTCTTCTGATATCTTCACCTTGACAAATTTTGATTGATACTTCTCCTGTGAAGCATTTTGCTACTTTAAAGGAACTAAATTAAAGCTAATTGTCATTATTGGATACCTCTGTCCCTTCACGCTGTTAAAATACCATTCATTGAATGCATCTTTGTTTTCTAAAATATACCACAATGTAACTCTTTGCACTGAATTGCATCTGATATCTATTTATTCATGCTGCCAACTTCTTTAAGTTGTTTAATAATTTCTTGCATCTTTCCTTAAAGTCTGCATATCCCTGGTTTGATCGTAAAAGTTCAAAACATTCTTCTGCATGCCCCATGAAAAGTTAATTATACAAATGGGAAACAACAGAAATGCACTCACAGGTTTCAGGAGCACACGTATGTCCATATTCCATTAGTTTGAAAAGAATACAAGAGTTTCTGTACTCTTTGCTTTCTTTCTTCCAGAGACCTCTTCATACTTGGAGCTGCATTCTCTTCAACATCAGGGCCCACATTCCCACCTTCACCACCTGGACACTAATCTAACAAAATTCACAATGCATTGAGCACAATCCACTTCTATTATATGGATTTCAAAAAAATTATTCTTCCATGTGCCTTAATCTTTGCATTGCATCTTTTATGTGGCAGATTGCCAACTATTTTTTTGAAAATCAACTTATGCCCTTGAGCTTCAAATACTTAGTACAGATGTGTTCAGTCTGGATACCTTGGTGTCCAGCAGCTCTCACATGCTGCAGCGTCACCCATTCTGCTATCACTATCGAATAGATTTAGTTTGTAAATTAGTCGCTCTAGATTCCCTACTTATTAAACTTTACTGTTATGATACAGTTTTCGTAAAAGAAAATCACCTGTATCAATTTTATATTTAGCAATTATTTTTAAGAAAAGAGACACAAGGATAGCACTGGAGACCTAAAGAAGTTATGTTTACTTTAGACGCTAGGAATATTCACCAATCGTATTCACTGATGATCTTCTTTGTATTCTGTTCCATTACCCTGATGTATTTACCTATGCTATGATTTATCCGGTTAGCATGACAAACAACACTTTTCACACAATCTTGGTATGTGTGACAATAACAAAATTAAATCAAATCATGCCATATTATGCCACTGCCGATATTTTAGTTCACGACATTATTCTGCCACT